ATCGCAGGACAGACCATACTTTGATCGATTTCCAATCGGCTCGTTTTATACACACAAATAACATTATTGGAGCTAAACTTCCCTCTTTTGTTTAGGGCTGATTACTACCCCTGGTTTTTAAATATTTATATACTCCATCAATGAGAGCAGACGGAATTCTTGATCAATTTTAATAAGCGAGGTCTCATTTTAAAGACTAAAGTTTAATCTACAGCGCTCTTTATCCTGAATTTTGAAAAAGCATTATTTGCTTTGAAAAAAATCGTGTTAATAAATGATATTTTTCCGAGAATAGTTTATGTACAAATAAAAAGCTTATTCGAAATTCAGACAAAACGTCGTATCTTAAAGCTTCTCCTTTAAAATGAGATCTTGTTCTTCATAATTAGTCAAAAATTACTTGTGTTCTCATTGATGACGACATTTTTTCCAAAGAAAACTTTTATTACTATGGCATTCCTTGAAATTTGTGGCAAAAAGATGAAGCCCAACTACTGATTTTTATATACACGCTTGAATAGTGTACATTTTATATCCGTGAAGTAGTGATTGTCTGTTTGGTCGTGTGCGTAAATAGCTGTTGCCTAGATTTTTTGAACATTTCCAAACGCAAAAAAAATGGTTTTTACGATGCTCCTATGAAGATGCTGCGGTAACTCACTCGATTATTTTAATGAGCATTGGCCAGATAATTCTATGGCCAAAATATGGAATTACGTGTCCAATCGTTTATATCAAGCGATCTGAGTTTCTACAAAATTACAAATTTTTGAAAATTTATAGTTTCTTTTAGAATTTGTAAACTAGAAAGAAAGAGATTCTATAAATAATGAATAGTATATTAGCAGCGTCCAGATTCGTAATTCATGATTTCTAGGTGTTCGAGGCCGACAAGATTCCGGTGTATTTTTTTTATCGTATTGATGTAAAAAAAAGTAATGAAATAATTTACTCTTTTTTCTATATTTTATAATTTAGTAAGGTGTTAGTATCCAATTTTTCATATTTATTTCCTCCAGATTCTGACGTGAATTTCGCGGTGATCTGTGCTAGATAGGGCATGGCAGCAGTATTATTTTGTTCGATGGCAAATGCATATAAAATATAATTTGTCGAATATTTTTTTAATATTAAAATTAGTGAATATATATATATATATATATGTATATATATATATATATATATATATATATACATATATGTGTATATATATATATATATATATATATATATATATATGTATATATATAGATATATATATATATATACATATATGTGTATATATATATAATATATATATATATATATATATATATATGTATATATATAGATATATATATATATGTATATATATATATATATATATATATATATATATATGTATATATATAGATATATATATATATGTATGTATATATATATATATATATATATATATATATATGTATATATATAGATATATATATATATGTATGTATATATATATATATATATATATATATATTATACATTATTTTCAATAAAGATTAGAACATGATTTCATTTCCACATCATCTACGGGACTTTTCTTCCGCTGTTGCTTTGTTAGTGTTTCTTCTATAGTAGTTTACTTCTTATTATTACGACTACTATGATTATTATTATAATAATAATATGTAGTGTAATAATATAGTTACAAAAACAGCAGAAAGAAGAAGAAAGAGAAAATATACTTATATTGTATAAATCTTGGTACATATGATGACGTTAATTTATGATAACAAAGAAAGGAAAAATATATCATTTTACGCGGTGATTTGACGCGCGTATTCTCAACAAATCGAGTCCTTGATAATTTCGATGCAGGACCATCAATCTAATACAAACAACATACGAAGAAATATACGAAACGTTTTTTCGTTCCCTATGTTTCTCTTTATCTTATTAACTTATGATCGTTATGCATTTGTTTCCACACAGTTTCTTACTCACGATCAGTCTAAGCTAATTGTTTTTACTTAAATATATGATATGAGTATGATGGTTGTCCAGTGCATAAATCTCTTGTTACAAAAAAAATATTAAATCGGGATTACAATGGACGCTAAATACGACGCTGTAGTGCAATATGTTAAACTGCTCTATCACCTAATTTTATTATTCTAAATTCTTTTGTATGAAGTCCTCTCAAAGGAAAAATATATCAAGTGTAGTTGGAGATAAGTAAAGGATGCCAGGTTTATTTAATAACGATAATTAAAATGCCAGATAGATATTATCTGTAAGGTAAGTAGTCGGAAGAATTGAGTGGTAAAACAAATTTTTCGGTAAAATCAGTACCAAAATTTATTATAACTTACATTAGAATGATTCTCCTTCTCATCATTACAACTATTCTATAAAATAAATATGCATAACTTTTCGATATCTAAACTAATAAACATGTGTTACTTCGCAAGCAGAATAAATATATATGTGTTAATTTTCGGTACCTAAATTAATAGATATTCACGAATAAGTACTGATAACTTGTTTGCGACTAAGATGCATTCGATATGTGATAAAAATCTCGTTATACAATCGATTAACGAATAAATGATTTTATAGGTACCTTTCTGTAATCTTACTATATTTTATAACCAATTCGCAACTTAGATTACTTAAGAAGTAATCAATTTGCAATTAATCTAAGTCAGAGATTCTGTAGAAATACCTGATCTGTGATAGTCTCGTGTTCCTTTTCCGGAGCTTATTCCTGAGAAAAGATTTACAGTGTTATTTTGTAGACATAGGTTACTCTTTGCTATTGCGGACAACTTTCGGTGCGGGTTCTCAAAGGGAAGTAAGAGTGCTTAATGAATTGTTTGGTCGATTGACCATGACTAAAACGATGCGGGTCTCGATATTATTGAGCCGATGAATCCAAAACGTTTATAAGGAACACGATCCTCGCCGTCTTTCTTTTACTAACATTTAACGAAAGCAGTAGGTTCTGTTTACATTAACCGATCGCTCGGACCCGCAATGAATCTTTCTAATCGATAGGATAAACACTCTTTTATTTTAATATTTAACGCGATTCACTAGTTTGTCACTATTTCCACGTTAATAATCTCTGTATCTTGGATGTACGTCAACGGAAACAATTAAGGACTTTCAACTTAAAAACCATCAATACATTTCATAGTCTAGGACTATTTATAAATAATCATCGCTTCGAACATTAGGAAGAGTTTTGTAGAAATATTTGAAACAATAACAATGTTAAACGAAACAATTTTTATTTTACACTTCGAATCATAAAATGTTATATATGATCTGATATAATGCGAGTAATTGCTATATAATGCGTTATTTCATTGAGTCAGTTATTTTGTTTATTATCAAGCGGTTGGGAAGGGGCATACATTTTTGAATGAATAATACAACAAATTCAAATCGTCAGCTGGATTCAAATCATTCGTTCCGTTCTATTAATCTCAAAATTATCTAAAAAGTAATCTCAAAATTATTATAAAAATCGCGAACTTTTAAAATGGAGAGTTGCCGTCTTTTCATCTAAATCTGTATAATATTCTTCAGATAAACTTCACTCATATAAGCTTCATATAAACTTCAAATATATTTAGAATTGGCGATAGATAGAAATGGTCATGTGCAATTTGTCAAAAACAATATTGATAAATTAATAACCAGATATAGTTTAAGAATGGTCAAATTGATGATCCAATATTATTTTTTTGTAGCAAATATATTTTGTAATATATTATTTATTATTTATTATTATTGTAGAAATAATCAAATACAAGTCTTCATTTGATAAAATTTATATATTTCGAACAATACTAATCGATATGTGAGTAACCATTTATATTCTTCTACGGTGTTTTCTGAAACAACAGAGAAAATATTATATTGTAACGATTATTACTAGAACATTAAAGAATACTGTCATAAATTCATTGGAAAAGATAGACGAGAAGATTGACTGATTCAAATGAAATAAAAATTATTTGCCGAAAATTTTCTTGCGTTAGGAAAGTGAAACTAAAAAATTGTTTAGGACTAATCATGGTATTGATAATATTGTAAATAGCCTAAATAGAAGTAAATAAAGCAAAAATTATTGTTAATTAAAGGAAAATTATACATTTTCTTAAAACAAGGAAAAATAAATAAATAGTTAATATTGTTTCTCCACAAAAATGTTTATAATTAATTTTTCACATATCAAAATAAACTAAAAAAAGATGTCGTTATTTCATTTTTCTGCTTCATTTAATATTTTTGTAAAATGTAGGATTAACTACAAACGTGGAGATAACCATAGTTACCCTAGATAGTGTTATTTCCAGATGGTGTCATTTTTTATATTATTATTTTTAATGTTATCATTACTGTCGTAAAAACAATTTGTAATATTAACAGGATAATGCTTTAGGAACAGCTTTTAGTTTCGCATTACTTTCGAAAAATCAGTTTTATTCGTTTTTTACGTATTTCTGCTTTAATTTATAATTATATCGTTTAATATAAATTCCCTTGTTTTCATAATAACATCTCATAATATGAAATGTATTTATAATAAATGTTGTATGTTTGTATGTTGTATTTATAATAATTGTTGTATGTTTATGATAGTAATAATACTAATATTCAAATAATAATATTCAAATAAATATTATAAAATATTTATTTAGAATACAAGGAAATCTTTAATAAACGCTATAATTATAAATAAAAGTAAAAATACATAAATAACGAATGAAATCAAGTTTATAGTAATAATAATGTGAAATTACACAATGTTTGTGTCGCAATATCATGCTAGTGGATTAATTATTAAGTAAAAATAATAAGTAAATAATAAGTAAAAAGTGTTGACGAAGCTAATTTTTATCACTACTGCGACTGAAACTAAACGCTATGCAAATATATATATATTACTTTATTACATTTAATTCTTATTAATCCTGCTGAAGCGGTTCACGATTAATCACCGTTGCAATTTCATTGTTTTCTAATATCGTGGAATGATTGCCATCAATAACATATACTTCTACTTTGCCGCCAGTTATCTGAAAATAACAGTATTTTATAATAGATTAATGTTATATTTATGAAGTATAAAAATTTTTAAACTTACTTCCTGTAATCCATAATCATACGAGATATGTCGTACAGACGATAACATCGGTTTGAACAATGTGATTGGAGTTCTTATATATGGTATTGGTTCTGGATTATATTTCATGGATGCTTGCAATCTCACATAAAATGAAAGTAGAGCGTTTTTTATATCTCATTCCAAATATAATTGCTTGTGTTCGGGAGCCAATACATTAACGAATGCATTTACTTTCTCATCCCACATTTTGGATTTTTCTAATTCAAGTACGAGCTAGAAAGTAACATTTCGAAATTCGTTTGACAATAGCGAGAAATAGGAAAAGAGAAAAATAACGAACCTGTTCACTATTAACAAATGTAAGTGTCTGCGCTATAAAAACAAAAAGTTTGTTTCGTAGTTCTTCCTCCGATGACGATTGAAACTGTTGATCTACAAGTTTTTTCAATAGTTGAGGAGCACCGTCTATCAAAATTAGCTGGCCTTTAAATCCTTTGGCTTCTAATTGTCGTGTGAGTTCAATTGTTACAAGCGATCCGAATGAGTACCCCACTAAGGTAAAATCTTTTCGATCTTTAAGTTTCTCTAATATATTCTGTAATATGTAAAATTACATATCATTTTAATACAACAGATTGAATAATATTTAATTTAATCAAATATATCTTTAATAAAAAAGTATACCGGTAGAAATGAAAGGGCCATTTCTTCTATAGTTTCTAATTCATAATTAGGCCCAAGTTGGAAACAAGTCGCTGGCGACTTAATTTTCGAGTCTAATGTTTTGTGTTTTGAAAATGATACGATAGCCTTCAATACCTGGAATGAAGAATATCTCGCTTCGACCTTCCTCTGGGTTAGTTTTAAGGGAGATAATTAGTTCGGAGGAAAGTTCTTCGCCGAACGATTGCATCAATATCTTTGTACCAAATAATGTTTTGTCGGTAGCAATTTGAATACGGTTACTAATTTCTGTTCGCTTATTATCTATTTCCATAAGTTTGGCAACGTTTAAGCTGCGAATATCTTCTGCGTTGAGATATATTTCATACTCGCGCTCTAAAGTGTGTTTTATTTCTACACCCATCATAGAATCCATTCCAAGTTCAGCCAAGCAAATTTGTTGATTGACGCTCTTTAAGTCTTTAATACCTATAATCAAAAATTCTTTATTTAAATAAGATAAAGAAAAAAAAAGCTAGCGAAAATAAAATAAAATTATTAAATTTAGCAATAACCATAATTCGGATAAACCGAAACTTATACATAATTTTTAAGACAGCATTTACGACATTGTCCTCACGATCGCCATCTAATTGTTTTTCAGCGACTATCATACTAGCAACTATAGGTTTATCCTGTAGCAAAAATCGATTCATTTCTTCTAAACATGATGTTATTTTTTGCTGTAGAGTACTGCCAATAACAAGTTCTTTATCATTATCCTGCATATCCGCGACAAGACCGACGTCTCCAATCGCTCCCCATTGAATAGCTAATCCAGGCAAACCTTCTTCTACCCTTTTTTCGCATATTCTTTCCATAATGGAATTAGCCATACCATAATTCGTTTGGCCAGCATTTCCTCTTTCGCACGAGACGGAAGAGAAGACTACGAAATGCCGAAGATCTGAACAAAGCGTTCTAGTAAATTCGTCCAAGCATTTCGTTGCCCAGACCTTTCCCTTGAAACATTCTTCAAAAGTTTTCATCGTTTGGTTACAACAAATACAATCTTTCAAAGACACCGCGAGGTTAAATATACCATCGATGGGACCTTGATCTATTGCTGATTTTACTACAAGCTCGCAGTCTTCTCGTTTAGCCGCATCGAGACCGACCAGGATCTTAATATTCACGCCGTATGATTCCCATCTCTTGATTCTCATTTGTTGATAACCATTCTTTAAGCCGTTTCGTGAAGTAATGATAATATTTTTAGCATTTCGAAGAACCAACCAATCGATTAATTCTAAACCAAAGCTACCCAAGCCGCCAAAAATTATATAACTTTTGTTCGGGAGACATCTATAATAAAGTTCAGCCAAAATCGGTGTATTCAGTTGTTCATTTTCTTCGCGTATCTTTATTAGTACCTACGAAATTCAAGATGGATTTCGAGTTATAATTTAAGATACTACAAATAATTGAATATTAAAACAACGACCACAACTTACTTTTCCAATATGTTTACATGCAGCCGTGAATCTAAAAGCTTTCTCTATTTGATCTCTGCCGAAGATGCTTCTTACAATAGGTTTGATTGCATTTTCTTTAAGGAGTTTGTTTACTCTTGAACTTATTTCATTTCTGATTCCGTCCTTGGTAACTATAATTTGATCTAACATTACAGCATGAAAACTGATCTCCTTCAAAAAGACATCGATGTCTAACGGATTATCTGCGGCTAAGTCAAACTTTCCATTTTCTAAAAATCTCCTTTCATGAGCTAAACAACGCAGAGATGCTAGAAGTTTTTCTTCTGCTAAAGAATTTAGAACTATATCTACACCTCTACCGTCGGTTTCTTGCAAAATCATTTGTTCGAAGCTAGTATCTCGAGAATTTCCAATATGATTATCGTAGATATTGGGAAATGTTTCTTTAATGAATTTATGTTTTTCTGATGTACTAACTGTAGTGAATACTTCACAGCCTTCATGAAGAGCTAAGGTAAACACCAGTTTGGCCAACACCACCAGCACCAGAGTGGATAAGTTTTCTATCACCCTTTTTCATTTCTCCGTTAATATAAAGTGCAGCAATACATGTGGAATATACGCATGGTACTGTCGCTGCATCTTCCAAATCCCAACTTTCAGGTACGGTCCAAGAAAAAATGTCGTCCATTTGGCAAAGATTTGATAAGCATCTGAAAAAATGTTGTTCATTTCATTTTCTGTTATTTTCTATATGCGATCTCATGATTTTTAATTAGCTCACTTGTTTTGATTAAGTCCCATAATACGTCGACCATCAATAGTGATTCCGCTATATTCTAATCCAAGTACGCAGTCAACATATCTTCTTTCCTGTTGAAATTTATCTAATCCTATTTTACCTGTTGCCAACATTACGTCTTTAAAGTTTAACGATGCATAATGGATGCGAACAAGATCTGCCTTTTGATAGTCCTTCGTAATTGGTCCTTCGAGCCAACATAAAACTTAAATCTCCGCGTGACTGTAAAAAAGTATTATTTCATGATATTCGATGAAAATTTGATGAAATGTCCTTACATACCAACTGATTAACGAAGGCATGATGCATAAGCTTTGGTTCACAGGATGGAAGTAGCTGATGCCTATATGATCCCCATACGTTTCCTGGTCGTAAAACATTGATGAAAAGATCGATTTCGAATTGTTACGAATAAAGGAGCAATTCTAAAGAAAATTTCGGGGCTGTAAGATCCTGGACTAAAACAGCTCGAAAGATTTTGCCTCCAGATTCTTTCTGTAAGCAATTAATGAATCCTAACAGACAAGATTCAAAGTTTCCTTCCTCAACAAGTATCACTCTCGTGTTATCTTCTTGTGTTTCATTGGCAAGCACATTTTCTACTTCATTCAACCAGTTAAATTCATTGCTCCTAACATTAATACATAGAATATTTTTCGAAATTTTCTTGATCTTCTTTAACAATATCCACGATTCCTCGAAAGCACGTTTCTCCAAAACTATACCTAATCGAAATTCCTTTAGAATAGAATAGTCCAATGGTATATTTTCCTTTACGCACGATAAAAGGAAAGCCCCATCTTTTGTAGATTTTAAAAGTTATTTTAAACTTTCCTTTTTTTCATTGGTTAATAAACAACATGCAACTGTTAATATCGCTACATCATCTGTTCGTAATTTTGTTGATTTTGAAATTTCAACATATTTAAGAATGTCTTCTTCGCTAAATTTCTTTGGTGGTGCAAATAAATTAATGCTTGCTTGAATCGAAGGTAAATTGGCGAGAATGTCTCTGAACAATGGAGAAACAAGTTTTTCCGCAGATATATTGTCATTATCCTCAACGAGTTCTATTGTTTTCACTTTCTTCATTGGTATATTCTCAAGAGTAATATGCATACATAACGTTAATATTTCGCGTAATGACATTTCCCTTCTGTCACGATAAGCAATGAATTTATGTTCTTCGATAATTGGATCACTGACAGGTTTCTTCCGAACAATCTCACTGGCCCTAATATTATGAATTTCCACACCCTCTGTTACAATCACATCAATATCCTCAAATAATTGTACAGGTACATCTGAAATAATATTATTGAATATAAAGGAATTTGCTATATAGATTCACTTTGAATTAAAAGAAAATATTTAACATTTTTTATTGGTTGTCAAACTTTGCAGATATCGTTGATGAGCTCTAGTATCTATTATCAATTTTCGAATACCAGTCGGTACGAATAAACCTCGGGTATCTAAAATGAGTATTTTCATCTGCAATATGTTATCCAGGAATGCTACCCAATTTCTTTTCCACTCGATATGTCCTTTTTTTCCTGAAACTGAGGCACTGTTTAAACTTCGAAAGAGGCCGCTATATTGGTAACCACGCAGTTTCAGCTCTTTATAAATATCTTTCTCATCTAATTCTTCCTTCTCATTGCCAATATTTGATTTGATCAAATCAAGGGGTATTTTCTCTTGTAACAAGTTTGTTGCAACACGTATCACTCCAGTAACAATAGCAAGACCTCCTTCGGCCACTTCGAAATTACCACTGCCTGTTCATTCAAAGAACGACATATGTTAACTTCTTTAAAACAATATGTAGATACTAGTTGTGGAGAGTGGATACCTTTTTGAATCATGACTATCATTTCAATTTTGCCTTTTTTCGGAATGGAGGTAGCTCGATTAAACTTTATATTTTCATTGACAACAAATAATTCCGTGTACAATTGTCCTATTATCATGCCGAAAGTTTGCCAAACTAAACACAAATATCCTGTCGCTGGAAACAAATTTCTGCCATCGACCACGTGACCAATAACGTACTGAAATTCTACATAATCGATCGATATTTCAAATATTCGTTCACCAGAATCAATTCTCTCTTGTCTATTGTAATCTGTCACAAACCAGTCGTCTGAATGTTTCCATCTAAACACATAATAACGTTGAATTTTTATGTTACATTCAGAAGAAATAATTATTAGCCTTTTTCGTTCTCTATATCCTCGTAATTCTTACTTAATAAGTGGGGATATCATTGGAGTACCTCGACTGACCGGATATTCTACGTGTGGATATAATTTAGTAAGATCTAGCTGTATACCGCTGTTATAAATCTTCCCTAATGCTTGCAGAAAAATGATCACGTTATTTTTATCATTTAGATGATTTAATGCAATATTCCTGACGGTTGGTTGCAATGATTTTCTTAAAGTCGCTTGTAGTAGATTTTGCGATCCAATTTCAATTGTGACAACATTGTTCGGAATCAGAACTAATGATTCTGCAAAGAGTACAGGTTTCAACAGGTTATTGGTGTGATACTCAGTTGACAAGAGTTTTGCGGCTGATGTCGACCACGCGTTTCGTGGCACCGATGTACTGAGCCATTTTTCACTACTTTCCTTCGCTACTGGTATTACTTTTTTTAAATATACAAAAAGTTTTGATCCAACTGCTGCTATATATCGTCTATGATAAGGTATATTATTGCACGCTACCTCTTCCACGATAACTTCAGTTGCCTTCCAAATACAAACACATTCAAAAAAATCAATTTAATAGTAGGGAATATTTTTATTGGTAAGATCCTGATTATCTTCAAACGAACCTGTAATTTTTTAACGAATTTCTTCACAGAATCGGACGGTCCGCTAACAGTTGTACTTTTAGTTCCATTGTGACATGCGATGTCGATATCAACAGGACAGCAATTTCTCAGATCTTCATAGGAAAGCCCTACCGTTGCCATAGAACCATGAGATATTTCTGTTTCCATCAAGGCAATTCCTCGCGAATATGCTGCTAATATCATTTCCGCTGCTGTAAAACATCCATCTGCGTCGGCACATCCAAGTTCACCAACGGAATGTCCGATGATGTAGTCTGGTACTACACCTACGGTAGTTAAAAGATCTACCAAGCCGATCTGTAAAGATTTTTTCCTTTTGTTAGATCTTATCGAACATATGCACTTTTCCCAAATAAATAAACAATTGTCGATATTACCTGAACTGCAGCAATTCCGTCGATCGAATGCAAGATATTGTCGAACATGCTATTATCTTTTTCAGTTAAAATTTTATAAATATTCAATTTATACTGCTTTCATACAGCATCGCATTTCTCTATAGCTTTAGCAAATATAGGGAATCTCATTAGACTTTGACCTGTAAATTACAAATTCTACTTCCAGTACATTTGATCGCAATGGTTATTATTTTTATAGTTACGAAGAAATAATAGTACAAAAATATTCGTACCTGTAACAGACCAGTGCGATCCCATTCCAGAAAAAACAAACAATATTAGTTTTTTGATACCAGAATAATTTTTAATTTCTCTCAATTTTTCGTCAGACGATTTAGAACTAGTTATCGTGTATCCTCGACATAAATGACTTGTTGTTTCTTTGAGATGAATATCATGAAGGAGACAAATAAATTCGACATCTATCGGTCGATTATCGATCTACGTAATAGGATGTTGAAATTGTATTGATCTATTTTACTGTAGAATAAACAAGTATAACATCTTTATGTTTTCTATTTAAAAGAACATTTCACCTACATCATTTAATATGGTTACAATTGCTTCTTCGGTACGTCCAGAAAGAGTTACCAGTCTAGGCAAATCGTAATCTGGCAATCCTTTATTGACCTTTGTTTTTGGATTTGATTTAAGTAAGACGTGAGCATTAGTACCATCAAAACCGAAGGAGTTAATGGCTATGTATTCCCCATCAAACGGAGACGTTTCGGTAACAGCCATGATTCTCCCTTCTGTAAAAGCTTTCACGCCTTTGCGTAGTCGATTAAGATTGATATTTGGTGGTATTAGGCCTAACTCCATCGATATTATCGCCTGTAATATATCAAAGAAACGAAACTGAATAATTGTCTCGTCTTATACTTCAAAATATGTTTACCTTAGCAATGGAGCACATTCCACTGGCTGGTTCGGTATGACCCAAATTTGATTTGATGGAACCGACTTTAAGAGGATTGTTTCTGTTTTTTGTGAAAATCTGATCTATAGCATTAATTTCTACAGGACCAACGACTTTAGTTCCTGTACCATGAGCTTTGATGTAATTTATACATGCTGTTTGTACACCGCATTCATCGTAAAATTCTTTGAAAAGAATACTCTGAATTTGGCTAGAAGGAAATGTTATTCCCTGTTTCTTATAACCATCGCAATTAGTTTTCGCATGGATAACTGTTGCATAGATTCTTTTAGCATTTTTTTCCTTTTTGCAGAAATATAACAACTACGGCTTCGCTGCGCACGTAACCATCTGCATCTTCGTCGAAACACTTGCAACGAACATCCTCAGACAATATTCCTATTAGAGAGATACAAGATAGAATAATTGTTTAATACTCTCATGATAATTCGAAAAAAAAGGACAAATGCTTCAAGAAAATATCATAATCAATATCTAAACGTTTAAATTGCAAAGTTAGGAATGGATGAAGGCAAAGATTTGATCCAGCGACGATCGCGTAATCGCATTGTCCGTTATGTATAGCTCTATATGCGTGTTCCATCGCAAATAGACTTGAGCTGCACATGGTATCGATGTTACATGTTGGTCCAGTGACGTGCAACCAATTCGAAATTCTGTTGGTCATATAAGCTTTGCTACAGCTTATGATACCAAAACCATTTATCTACAATTGAAAAGACGTATCATACGACTTATCCGACTATATAAGTAATTGTACATAATTAATGCGTCTATAAACTGATCGTTTGATCGATTCCCCTACCTGGAGTTTGTCGTAGAACCAAGTTTTCTCTGTATCGGAGAAGCAAGAACCTAAGAATACACCTGTCCTCGTTCTACGAAGATCTTTTGGATGAATTCCAGCATCTACAATAGCTTCATAAGTATGTTTGAACAATATTCTGCCCATAGGATCCATAGTATGTGTTTCTTTAAAATCGACGTCAAAAAATAATGCATCGAATTTCTCAATATTGTTAATCTTCCCCATTCGTCGTGGAATTTCTGAATCCTCTAATAAAAGGTAAAGATAGAAAAATATTAATATTGTTTAATGGTTACGTTGTTAAATAAAATAGATTTTATACGTATAATCGATACCTGTATTTATTCCGTTATCTGTGATACAATCTTTGCGATTAAAAATATTATCTTTCAATTCATACAAATTGTTGGATTTTGGAAATCTACCAGCGATTCCGGAAATAACAACATCTTCGCCTGGTTCTAGATCGGCATATTTGAAAAATTTGTACGATTCCTCTTGCTCCTTAAACTCATTCATGACGTTATGATATTTTACATTCGTTTGTCTGAAATAGAAATTGGACACGAACTGAAATTGTTAACGAAGAATTTTTCTTTTTAATAATTCTTTCCGTCTCCATGAAATTCGTTATATCACGTCACGTATTATAAGTTCTTGTATCTTTCCGTTCGACTTATTCAAATGAAGATGTATTTTTAACGGACCTTAATGAATTTGTTTATTCCTTTTATACTAATTAGGTACGTCATGGTCAATGAAAGAGCACTGTTCAATATAGAAACGATAAAGTTAAACAGTAAAATGTATGCAGGTGTATATAAAGTGTATATATAATATGTATATAAAGTATATATATATATATATATATATAGTGTGTATATATAAATATATGTATATATATATATATATATATATATATATATATACACATATATATATGCAGACACAGGAACACATAATATTTATATACCTACGCGTGCGCTTACATAAACACTCATATAAAGCTATATCTGTTCCACATGTCCTTACTTTTCATATCTATATATATATATATATATATATATATATATATATATATATATATATTTACACACACACACATTCTGATACATAAAATATGTTTATATCTATGCGTACGCACATAAAAGTATATCTTTATCTCAATATCTTTATCTTTCATATGTAATACTTAACAAAATAGTACAAACATATATTACACTTTGTTTACCTTGTTTATTCCTTTAATAAGTTTTGTTAAAACATTATAGCGAGCCTTATAAAATCGTGTTTTGTAATATATATTTTTAAATACATAAATAAAATAGGTAAAGACGAATCAGTATTATCTGACGAGTTTTCTCTAATACAAAAATTTTACCTTCTCCGTGTTACTTTTTTGTTACGTAAAATTTAACATGTCTTATAACGATAAGGAGAACAAAAGTAAAAATAATAAGTGAACCCAAAAGGCGACTTATTTCGATACCAGAATAATAATTAATATATGATGATAATATAATTTAAAGAAATATTTTGTATGCTATCTAACCTTGAGATATATGCATAGTGAAAAAAAATAATATGTAGTAGCAAACAAACGAGCGACGCATAATTTGAGACTATTTATCACCTTCAGTTCAAAGCGCGTGTAAATTGATCGACAAGTATTGACCAAATATGAATAATCAATCAATTTATTTAGTCATGTGACTATCGTTTCGGTGTATAAGCTTGTTCTGTTAGTTCCCTCTCACGCGTATGTAACAACGTATGTGATTAGTAGACTGCGAATGTACACTTTTCAATCTCTCATATGTATATCTTTTGTTGATGGTAGCGTGTCTTGCAGAGATCTGTGCTAAATACGAAGTCGGTACGCATTTGGTTTACGATAAATGCATAGAAAAGAAAGAAATATAATTGATACATAAAAGAATTAGAATATAAATTTGCGACAAAAATAAGAATTTGTTGAATATTTTCTTAAAAATAATTAGTGAATACTTATATATTATATTAATTATAATAAACGCATAACAATCGTAAGTTAAGAGAAGGAAAAACTATATCGTTCGAAAACAAAAGAATCATTTCGTATATTTTTTCGAATATTGTTTGTATTAGACGGTCCGTCATGATTTGTTGGGAATTCGCGTTTCAAATCCTTACATAAAATGATACAATTTTCCTTCTTTTATTATCATAAATTACCGTCATCATATTTATCATGATGTATACAATATAAGTATATTCTTCTGTTTTTTTCTTCTTTTTACTGTTTCTGTAACTATATTATTACATTACATATTATTAGCATAGAAATAATAGTAATAATAGCAATAATATGAAATGAACTATCACAGAGGAAACGATATCAAAATAGCGCTAGGATGAAAATCTCATAGATGATGTGGAAACAAACTCATTTTTTGATCTTTATTAAATATAATATATACTATATATATACTAATTATTAATTTTGAAAAAATAATCGATAACTTTATGTAGTTTATATGCATTTGTCATCCAACAAAATTATATTGCTGCTATGTTTTATCCAGCATAGATCACCGCGAAATTGACGTCAGCCATCAGTGGAAAAAATAAATATAAAACATTGAATAATAACACCTTGATAAATTATCAAATAAGGAAAAAAGAGTAAATAAGTTCATTATTTTGTTTTACACCGATATAATAAAAAAAAACCATCGCAATCATGTTAACCTCAAACACGAAAAATTCCTAAACTACGTATCTGGATGCATGCTAATATACAATACATTACTAATAGAATATCTTTCTTTTTAGTTTACAAAGTTTAAAAGACACTGCAAATTTTTCCAAAATTTAATAATATTTTAGAAACTCATATGCATTGACGTAAACGATTGAATACTTATTTCCTTATTTTTGCCATAGAATCATTTGGCCAAAGCTCATTAAAATAATTATCGTAGCTACTTCGTGTTTCTCCGCGCATGCAGCGCATTTTTTGTCTTTGGAAATGTTCAAGAAGTCAGAACATCAGCTATTTACTCACACAACCAAGCAAACAATCGCTACTTTACGGGAAGTGTCAAAGTACTACCTTATTTCTTCGCGAAAAATGTCAACATTTAAATCATCTATGAGAAAGAAGTAATTCTCGACCAACATAAATAAATAAGATCTGATATTAAAGAAGAAAGTGTAACATACGGTGTTGTTTCGGCGAAGTTTTTAAAAAAATTTTTATTTGTACATAAACTATTCTCAAGAAAATATCATTTTTTAACACGATTTTCTGATTGGGTAATGGAGAGAGAGAGGAAGGGAGAGAGAGAGAGAGATTGTGATGCGAGCGATAGCGATTAAAATGAATCTATATAACGAGAAGCGAGATGAATATAAAATAATCCTTGTGAAAACAGAAATTTGAAAGCTCGTAAGTAAGTAGTCAAAATCATAAAAATATTTAGTTCAAATTATTCCCCAATATGTAATTTTATGTGTAATAAAAATGTTTAATAACTTCAATCCATGCTTTTTGATTTCTCAAGAAATATTGCAGAATAAACTAATCGAATGCAAATATATGCCACCGCATCGTATTTATTAGATAAGCAGTTTTTCAGACATTCGGAAATTAAAATTTAAATGCGTTATGTATCGAATGAAATATTACGATAAGTTTGTTCGTTCATATTTTTACGCAGATTTACCCGACCTATTTTGAATATGTTGCTATTCAGACGACCTAAGTTCATGGTAAACCTATAAATACTAAAAGTTCAATAGGCCACTAATTTCCTATCGTTAACAGAACTGGAATATATTACTATATTATCATGTAAAGAGGAAATGTATTGATACGTCAAACGCCGTTAGTATTAAAAAACTAACAACCTTAGTACGTTCGATACCACATCGCGGAAAAGAAATTCTCTCCACTGCGCATTACATTTGTTTCGAAATTTTGCAAAATATACTGCAGATTTGTATTAATTTATGCAGAAATAAAGTAAAGATTGATGTAGAAATAAAATAAAGAATGCCTTCATATATCTGTGACGTTGGACTTTTAATGAAAATCCATGCGTTACAGATATATGACGCTGGTAAAGAACATTATTAAACTCATGTTATCATTGGAGACATCTCGAAAGCAGACATTTTACAAAATGTAAGAAGGCTCATTCTTATTATTCTAACGATAATAAAATAACTTGCGCATATCATTACTATATTTTTTGGGATTTATATTACTTTTTTTGGTAATTGCATTAATTTTCTACAGTACTAAGTTTTATACATTTTATAAAATTTATTCTTAACTACATTTCTTTTTATCTCCAAAACAATGATCAAATTCACCATGTCTTTTTCAATTGGAGATAAAAATATTCGAGTAATAAGATCAAATGTTGAACGGTGGCGGTTAATTATTAACTGAGAAAAATCGTCGGAAATATAAAAGAACGATAAATTTGTAAAAATCTAAAGGTATACGTTTACTTCTTGGATAAAAAGAGGAAGTAAAGATATTTATAAAGAATTAAAAACTTCAATATATCTCTTACTTATTGCGCAAAAAAGTCTTGAATAGTTTTATCTCTTTCAATCAAACTATTTTTGATAGAACATCAAAATAAAATGAAATCTTGTTCAACATATACCACTTCCTTTTAAAATATTATATGGAAATATAATTTTTTAAATTGGTACAATCCACCTGTAGACCATCCTCCGAAGATAGCAGCTGTTATGTGACGAATTCAGATTTAGGGCAAAATATGCGCTCGTCATCGAATCTAGTAAATAACTCGGTTATTAGTATACCGAAATATATGTTTTATTATGATGCCATTAATCAGTAAATGATAGTTGAAGAAGAGGATTTTTGTGAAAGGGTTAGGCCAAAGATCGAAATGTAAATTGTGATCTGAACGATAGCTTTCACTAGAAGCACTTTTCTGGATAGAGGTTATTCATCCACTCGAATTCTC